GACGACGACGACGACGCCGGAGTGGCCCCCGCCGCCCGGGCCAGGCACCGCGCGCGCCGCGGCGGCGCGGCGGCCGCCGCCCCATGGCCCGCCGCCGGGACCGAGGCGAGGCGGAGAGGGTACGCCGCGGGGCCGGGCGCGCGGAGCAGGCGCGCCGCCCTCGGAGGATCTGCCCCCTCCTCCTCTTCCTCCTCCTCCTCGTCCTCCTCCTCCTCCTTCTCCTCCTCCTCCTCCTCTTCCTCCTCCATTCCTTTCCCTCATGAATAATTTCCACCCCCCCCTCCAGCCAATCCCTCCCCATCGTTGCCCCTCACCCCCTCTGGCCCCTACTCTGCACGAGCGAAATGGGTATGGAAAGAATGAGTACAATGCCCAACAGCAATTCCTGTTCATTCTGAACAGGGCTCGCTGTCCGCGCCGCCGCGGCCTGTGTCCATTTGAGACAGAAGGCCGCCTGCCCAACAGCGGCCGCTGTCGGTTTTGGACAACATTTGTTGTTGGGCATTGTACCCATTTGTTCCGTACCCATGTCGGGCGTCCAAAGAGGAGGGGGTCGGGTCGGTCGGGGTGCGATGGCGGCTCTCGAGGAGGAGAGAGAGCGGGAGAACGCCATAAGCATATGAGCTTTGGCACGCCGTGCAGGCTACGTTTAAGTCGGGCCCGTCCCTCTACAGGAGGAATATTCAAAAATAGTTTAACAATAGTCTGGGGATTGTTTTTTAAGCATTCGTTTCACCGTTTTGGAGTATTTTGGGGGTGTTTTTCATTTTTCGATGAAGAACTGGTCCTGGGGGGGGAGGCCCTGGGGTCAGGGAACCGGTTCCCTCAGGATCCGTTTCCTCGTGCCACCTTCTTGCTGCTTTTTTTGACGCTGGCCATGCTGCAAGCGAAGCGTACAGCTTTCTGACCTTCTTGCTGCTGGTCCTGCTCCTGCTCCGCCCGGTCTTGCCGCCGCGCCTGTTCTTCGTGCTGCTCCTGCTCCTCCTGCTCCGCGGCCCCCGCACTTGTCCGTCTGATGTCTAAGACGAGTGGCCACTGGGGCCAGGCGCCTCTGCCAACAGCAAAGAGCCCCGACCGCCCCCAGGGGGGCGTGCCCATCAGGGCGGCTTTTCCAAGCACCCACGTGGAGGGCGATTGGCGGCAGTCCACTTGGGCACAGGGCTTCCCTCCACAGACCTCTGGGCGCTGCGACCAAACAAACACGACGATAGGTTTTTGTCTGCTTTCGGCCTCCGGGGGCCATCGCTGGGCCCCTGGGCTGCTGAAAGACGACTCGGGATGAGAAACTGGTCCCAGGGGAGGGGGTCGAGACCTCTGGAGATCCGCGTCATGACAAAGTCACGGCGTCGGAGGTCCCTCCATCCTTCTCCGCAACCTTCCCTTCTCCCCAGTCCTCCCTCCTCCCCGCGCCCTCCCTCCTCATCGCGCTCCTCCCGCCTCCCCCCGCTTCTTCCGCCCTCCCCCCGCCTGCCTCCCTCCCTCGCTCCTCCCTCCTTCCTTCCCTCCCCCCCTTCACCTTGCCTCCCCCCCCCCTCCTGTTCCTCCTCCCTTCTCCCTCCCTCGCTCCGCCCCCCCCTTTCATCTTGCCCCCCCCCCTCCTCCCTCCCTCGCTCCTCCCTCCTTCCTCCTCCCTCCCTGCTCCCTCCTCCTCGCTCCTCCGACTCCCCCTCCCACACTCATGGGCCCCACCCACCCCCGCCTGGGGGTCGTCTGGGCTCGCCGAGCCTCTTCGGGGGATCGGTTGCGAGGCGGGGCGGGCCCCTTCGGCCCGCAGATCCCAGGGCAGCCCGGGGCCCTCGTGCCCGGCGCTCGTGTCAGGAGGGAAACACACAGACACACTCACACGCACACACATAGAAACACACACACAGTCAAACACACTCACACACACAAGCACACACAAGCAAAACACACACATACAGGCAAACACACGAACGAACACACACAAACATACACAGACACAAACATACACGCACACACACAAACAAATATACACACAAACACACAAACAAACACACACACAAACACAAACACACACACACACGCAAACCAACACACAAACACACGCACACACAAACGAACCCACACACACACACAAACACAGACACGCAAACACACACACACATTCACACACAAACAGACAAACACGCACAACAACGCACAACAACGCACCCACAAACAATCACACACACACGCACACACACAAACAAACACGCACAAACATTCACACACACATAAGCACACGCACACACGCACAGACCACGCACACACACACGCACGCAAAGCCGAACACACAGACACTAACGAATCCACACAAACAAATACACACACAAACGAACTTATACACAAACACGCACACGCAAACAGTCACGAACAGACACACGCACACACACACGCACACGCACACACACACACACGCAAACGCATACAAATACAAACAATCACACACGCACACATTCACACGCACACACACATGCACACACAAACAAACACACACGAACAGACAGACACACAAACACACACACACACGCGCGCACACAATCAAACACACACACACAAACACACAAAAAAAACGCACAAACAAACAAACGCACACACACACACACACACGCACACACGCACACACGCACAAGCAAACAAACGCACACAAAGACAGACAGACACACACACACACACACGCACACACTCAAACAAACACAGGCACACACACACGCACACACACACACACGCACAAAGAAGCACACAATAACGAGCACACACAAACACACGCGCACACACGCACACAAACACACACACAAACACACACGCAAACACACACACACGACCACACACACACACACACGCACGCACACACAAGCAACGACTCGCACACAAACACTTACACACAACCGCACACGAAAATACACACACAAACACACACACACACACGCTCGCACACACACAAACACACCCACACAGAACCACACGTCCCCACACAAACACACAACCAAACACACACACAGACAAACACACACACAAACACACAAGCACACACACGCACGCACGCCCGCACACACATTCTCGCACACACGAACAAACAAACACACGCAACCACAGACACACATACGCACACACAAACACGCACACACACAAACACACACACACACACTCACACAACCAACCACACACAATCACACACAGACACTCACACACACAGACAAAGGCACATACACACATACACACAAACACACAGAGTCAAACAAACACACACAAAAACAACCCCCCCACACACGCACAAACAAACACACACACACCTTGAAACGCACAAACAAACAAACACAACCAAACACACACAATCACACACAAGCAAACACACACAAACCAGCACACACAAACAAACACACAGACAAACACGCACACAAATATACACACAGCAGCAGACACCCACACACAATCAAACACACTCACACACACGCAAACAAACACACACACAAACACACAGACGAACAAGCACACACACAACACACACACGCTAACAAACACACACGCACAAACAAACACACAGACATACACAAACATGCACACAGACAACCACAAACAAAGACACACACACACACAACAAACACACACACACAGAGACACACAAACACACACAATCACAAACGAACACACACAAGCACACACACACGCGCACACAGACACGCGCGCACACACACAGACACGCACGCACGCACACAGACACACTCACACACACAGACACAAATGACCGTCGATGCCCTGGAAGATATGGAAAGATGTGGGAAGTCGGGGGGGAAGACGAACATCGGGTCGACAGGATGTAGTATGTGAGCTCCTTGGATGTGTGCTTACTTGTGTGTGTGTGTGTCCCTGGGCCTCTTCATCTCGGTTTGACCGAGGCCGATTTTTTTCGGTGGACTCGAAGACGACAACGCATGTATAACAAGCGCAAGCGTTCGCAGCTCCTAGCGGGTCTCTCGCATCGGCGCTGGGGCCCCCTGGCGGCGCCTTCCTGCGGCGCTCCGGCGCGCGCAGATCCAAGAACCCCGCGCGCAGCTCCACAAGTGCATGTTGCTGATGCCGCTTTGATCTGCCTCCACACCGTGGAGACCCCTGCCAAGGGACACCCTGCTTACCTTCAGGGTGCCCCGGGTGTCTTGGGCTGCGATGGTCTTGCGGTGGAGAGCCGTGACGCTTCCGCACCAGAAATCAATGGACGCCCTGGGGTCTCAGGGTTGGGCTCCGTGTGGGAGCTCAAGCATTGGCCTCCACTGTGCCGCCTGCCCGGAGCAGGCCAGGCGCTCGGTCCTTCGCTTGGGCGCGAAGAGTTAAGTCGGGCCTGCCCCTCCACAGGGGGAGTATTCAAAAATAGTCAAAAAATAGTCTGGGGACGATGTTTTTTACTATTTTTGAATATTTGGGGGACATTGTTGGAGTATTTTTCATTCTTCGACCAAAATCACCCTGTAGGGGGGGCAGGCCCGACTTACGCGAAGAGGGTCGCGGCCTCGCGCGGCTCGCGGCCTTGGCCAGAGCGGCATGCCCTTCTCCAAGGGGGCGGCGTGAGGGCGCGAGGGCGCGGGAGGCACGGCAGGCTCGCGCCGTGTCGACTGGCGGCGACCCCGCCGCCGGCGTTCAGTGCTGAACGCCGCCGGCGACCGGGAATCCTTCGACTGCAGACGCCGTTGGCGAGGAGGGGGAGGAGGAGGAGGAGGAGGAGGAGGAGGAGGAGGAGGAGAAGGAGAAGGGCGGAGGAGGAGGGGGAGGAGGCGGAGGAGGAGGAGGAGGAGGAGGAGGAGGAGGCACGCCTTCTCTTCCGGCGGCCGCGGGGGCCGCTTTCGAGTCGGCCTCGGTGGCCGAAGGCGGCCGCGCCTCGGACCCCGAGGCACGGGGCCGACGCGCCCCAGATTGGCTTCGGGCCGCTGTCTTACGGCTGAGGCAAGCCAGCAGTGGACACCTTGACGGGTCCCAGGAACGGCAGGACCGTGTTTTTTCACCGTTTCCGGAAACAAGTGAGATTTTGAAGATGGAAGCGGCACAAAAGCGGCGACCGCAAAAGGCAACAAAAACAGCTCCCGGATTGAAATTGGAGCTGGCGCCAGTAAAACGACGGCGACGGCGACGGAACCGGTAAATAAAACGGCGTCGGAAACGGCAACAACACCGGCAAAACGGAGCCAGTGAAGAAACTGCTTTGTCGTTTCCAGGGCCCACTAAGGTGGACATTCCCCCGTTACCCCAAACTCAAGTTGGCACGCGCGGGGAAAATTGCGGTCGAAGTGCAGCTCGTTCAACCCACCGCCAAATGTTGTTCATTGGCGGGGGCATGGACAGATGAATGCAGCATCAGTGTTCGCTAATTTCTTCCGAGGCCTGGATCGCCCCCGTCCCCCCCGCCTCCCCCGCGCCCTGTCCCGAGATCCGATCTGAAAAATCACGACCAGGGCCCCAGAAACCCCACCGTTCTGCCTCCATTTCTGAGCCGCCTCGGCCCGGAAATGGGCGAAAACCGCCCATGGTGAAAGCATGCAGCGGCCAGATCTCAGGGTCCCTCCCTCCCTCGCTCCCGGCTGGGATGTCCGTGATCACGTCTCTAGGCCTCCCAGATGGGGTCGGAGTAGGCGGGGTCGGAGGATCGCGCCGCATCGCCGCTGCATAGCAGATGCGGCTCGAGGCGAAACCCGATTCTCCACGCCCACGTCGCCGATGAATCGCCGACGTTGCCAGTGCATCGCCGGTGCGTCGCCGATGCATCGCCTCTGTATCGCCGATGTGTCGGCGACGCGGTGCGATGCTCCGACCCCATCAGCTTCGTCCCCATCTATAGAGGCCTCTACGTCCTCGCTCCCACCCCCCCTCCCTGGCGGGCATGCCTGTGAGCACGACCGTGGCGGCCCCCCGCGCGGCGGGCCCCCGCGGCGGCGGCGGCCGCGGGGCGCAGTCCTCCGCAGGCGACCGCTCCTCGTGCTCGCGCTCCTGGGCCTCTGCCGCGCCGCCGCGGCGGAGGATGCGGCGGCTGCGGGCGAGGCGGAGGCGCTCCGGTCCAGGACGACGACGACGGCGATAAGAAGGAGGAGGAGGAGGAGGAGGAGGAGGAGGAGGCAGAGGAGGAGGGGGAGGAGGAGGAGGAGGAGGAGGCAGAGGAGGAGGAGGAGGGGGAGGAGGCAGAGGAGGGGGGGAGGAGGAGGAGGAGGAGGAGGCAGAGGAGGAGGGGGAGGAGGAGGGGAGGAGGGGAGGAGGAGGGGAGGAGGAGGAGGAGGGGGAGGAGGAGGGGGAGGAGGGAGAGGAGGAGGAGGGGGGAGGGGGACAAGCTAGGTGCGCTCGCGTCATATCTGACATCCTACCCCTCCCTCCCATCCCTTACCATGGCGCAGATCCCCTCTCTACTCGCACAGTCGGATGTCGAGCAGGGCAATGATCCGAAAGGGTACGCGATGCATTGTAGAGCACGGCATGGCATGGCGTAGAAGAGTACCGCAAAGAGTAGTATCAACCGAGCATTGCATTGCATGCCGTGGCATGGCACGGGAAATGACGCCAGCGCTGCAGCGGGAGCACGAGTCGAAACGAGCGGAAGCGCGGAAATGAGGCCAGCGCTGCAGCGGGAGCACGATTCGGAACGAGCGGAAGCACGGAAATGAGGCCAGCGTTGTAGCGGGAGCACGATTCGGAACGAGCGGGGCCCGAAAATGAGGCCGGTGCTTCAGCGAGAGCAGCATTTTGAAAAATATGCAGGCGAACACCCAACTCCGGGGAAACCTGAGTATAAAAAAAACAGTACGCGGGGAGGGGTCGGACACTCCCAGGCCGTCATCAGGGGAAGAGGGAGAGTAGTATTCATATTGAGTAATTGTGGAGTGGGAGGAGGAGAAGGAGGAGGAGGAGCAGGAGGAGGAGGATAATTAGGAGAAGGAGGAGGAGGAGGAGAAGTAGGAGGAGGAGGAGGAGGAGGAGGAGGAGGAGGAGGAGGAGGAGGAGAGGGGAGGGGGAGGGGAGGGGGAGGGGGAGGGGAGGGGGGAGGGGGGGAGGAGGGGGGGGAGGAGGAGGAGGAGGAGGAGGAGGAGGAGGAAGGAGGAGGAGGAGGAGGAGGAGGAGGAGGAGGAGGAGGAGGAGGAGGTGTGGTGTGGAAGATGCGCGGCGTTCGGGGTTGTTCGCTCCCGCTACCTGTAAGCCAGGTGCAACGAGCACCTTCATATTTCGGGGGCTGAGAAGTCCCTCGCCCTGCTCCTCGCGGGCAAGGATCCCAGCTCGAGGGCGGTGTTCGGTCCGAGTATCCTGGTCGAGCGAGGGAGGTAAGGCTCTCTCGGCGCGAGGATGGATGCAACTAAACGGTCCTGACCCAATCTGCTGTTTGCCTTTGGTCTTCCACTGCGGGATCCGTTCTGCTGGTCAGACTGGTCAAATAGGAGGAGGAGGAGGAGGAGGAGGAGGAGGAGGAGGAGGAGGAGGAGGAGGAGGAGGAGGAGAGGCAGGGGGAGGGGGAGGGGGAGGGGGAGGGGGAGGAGGAGGAGGAGGAGGAGGAGGAGGAGGAGGAGGAGCAAGGGGTTGCGCACATTCCCTCAGCACATGGCAAATGTATGAGATGCCTTAGGTGTTTGAGGGTAGTGTCGGGTCAGACTTCCTCTCCGTGCGTTGCTCCCAACCCCACGATCCGCTCCTTGCTGGAGGGTGGTGCGGGCACTGGGCATAAGTTGCATTGGGCCCGTTGTGAGGAGTCAGATGCCCCGATCATCTTTTGTGTCTTGTGTGGTGGCTCAGCATCGGTCAAAGCTGATAAGCTACTGAAGCCATGTACGAACCCCAGGCGGTCCTCTGAGCGTTCTAAGCTTCTCAGAGGGATCGTTCCTGGCACGTCCCTGCGTCTGGGCAAGTCCTTTCCCCTTTCGTCTTTTCCCCCTTTCCCGTTCCCTGCTTCCACCCCATGGACTTCGACCCAGGACGAGGGAGTTTCCTCTATGTAGTCAGCGTTCGGTGCTCTTGGAGTGTCAGGACGCTCGTCAGTCTGTTGAGTCTGTTGAGGAGGAGGAGGAGAAGGAGGAGGAGGAGGAGGAGGAGGGGGAGGGGGAGCCGTTCTCGTCCAGGACGACGACGATGACGACGACGACGACAAGGAGGAGGAGGAGGAGGAGGAGGAGGAGGAGGAGGAGAAGAAGGAGTAGAAGGAGGAGGGGGAGGGGAAGGAGGAGGAAGAAGAGGAGGAGGAGGGGGAGGAGGAGGAGGAGGGGGAGGGGGGATGCTGATGATGCTGATGATGATGATGCTGATGATGATGATGATGATGATGATGATGATGATGATGATGATGATGATGATGATGATGATGGTGATGGTGATGGTGATGGTGATGATGATGATGATGATGATGATTATGATGATGATGATAATGCTGATGGTGATTATGATGATGATGCTGATGATGCTGCTGATGCTGCTGCTGATGGTGATGTTGATGCTGATGATGATGCTGATGCTGATTCTGATGATGATGCTGCTGATGATGATGATGATGAGGAGGAGGAGGAGGAGGAGGAGGATGAGGATGAGGATGCTGATGCTGATGCTGATGCTGATGCTGATGCTGATGCTGATGCTGATGCTGATGAAGAGGAGGAGGAGGAGGAGGAGGAGGAGGAGGAGGAGGAGGAGGAATGCGACGACGGCGAGGACGAGGAGGTGTCGCGCATGGCCGACGGCGACGGCCGGCCGGCCACTAGGGCTCCTTTCGACTCGGAGCCCGAGCAGGCCCAGCACGGGTTCCGGCTAGCAGTTGGGAGGGGAATATGTTCGAGGCCTGGGGTTCGGGAAGGTTGTTGTTTTTCAGCCTCCAGGGGCCGTTTTCGGAGGAGGGAGGGGAAGGTGGCAGGCCGACGAGTCAGGATGAGGATCGATAGGAAAAGGATGAGCATGACGGGGAGCAACAGAAGGAGGCGGAGGTTAGGAGGCAATTGTTGGGAGGTCGTCGTCGGAAGGATTCAGGAGGATTCAGGATCTAAAAGAACTAAGACGGATTACGCCAGATTTCGGACAGTGGCAAGGTCAGAATTTGGTCTCCCGAGAGTTGCATCCGAAGGAAGGGTGGGGGAGTAGGGGGCAGAAGGACAAGGATCGACGAAGAAGCATTTGCATAAGCATGACTTGTTCGGAGCTCCGCGCAGATGTCTCGCATCTACGCTGGGTCCTCCTGGCGGCGCCTGTGGCGCCGCCCCTGGCGCGTTTTGCCCGCCATGGAGAAGGGAGTCCCAATTCCAAGGTTAGTTACGCGTATTCCGTAGTAGCGTTTCGCTAGAAGTTCCGAGTAGTGGTGAAGCAGGACCACAGAAGAGTCCCACTGGGTGGACGGGGATCCCTAGACCGCCTGGTCCGCTCAATTTATTCAGGAAGCGTGCTTGGACATTCTTTTGAATCCTGGGGGAGGGTACCCTCGAATGCTTTTCATTTTTTCCAGCGGAGGGGTCTCATGTTCTTGAAGGACGTTCTTCTGTCCTAGGTCCGACTGTATTCCTTGACCCGCCTCTTCACCCCTGCTGCTATTGTAAAGAACATCGGGTGCTTTGCTTGGGTAAGCCAGTGCTTTCTTCTTCGAAGGATGCCTGGCCCGTTGACGCCCACACCGCAGCCGAAGCTGCAGCGCTTTGGCCCGTGGCCAAACGCCAGGATCGGCCGACGACGACGACGACGACGACGACGACGACGACGACGACGACGACATCGTCGAACCGACAGTTTGCGTCATGCCGTTCCTGTCGGCCGCGCGCCCTGGGAGGGGGGGAAGCCAGAAGGAGCAGGCCCTCTCTCAGACGGCGGCACCTACCAGACGGCCAGAGGGTGCCCGAGCCGCCTGAGCCGGGGGTCATCAAGAGACGGGGGCCCACGCAAGCGGGGGTCAGTCAGCCCGCCGGACCTTGCAGTATCTTCGAAGGCCAGGCTGACGGCGATGTTGCTTAACGGTGATGTTGGGAACCAGAAGTGTAGGAAATCACGAACCACATTTTCCTACATGTCCTATCAGCGAATGGATCGAGGGAACACGACACAGCGAATTGCAGGAAAGCGCGAACCACGCGTTCCCACCATACAGAAACTTGCATCGCCGTTACCTACATCGCCATCAGCCCGTCTACGGATCTTGCAGAGCCAGGGCGGCATCGACCCAGGCTTGGGTGCAGAATCCTGCAGGACCTTGCCCCAGACGGGCGACGCCCTGATTCTTTCGGGACGGCGTCCCCTGAAGTCCCCACCTCTCCCCAGGACCGGCGTTTCGTCCCGAGTCGCTTGTTGACGGCCCCGGGCGCCGTCGAGGGCCCCCCGGGGCCGGAAACAGCGAAACACCTCCCGTCCTGATTTTCCCTTTCACGACGCGAGCATGCCTGGGGCAGGAGGCCTGCAAAGCCCGCCCGTCCCGGGCCCGCACATCGGGTCCGTCGGTCCCGGGCTGAGATCTCGCCCGCCCGCTCTCGCTTCCCCCCCCCCAGGGGGGGGCGCACGGCCGAACACGGGCGCCCCCCGCTCCCGGCCCGGGGGGCCACTGGCCCGGGGGGCGGCTGGCCAGTGGCTGTCTTTGGTTCCGCACCTCGAGACGACGGCGACGACGACGATTACGGCGGACGACGGCGACGACTACGACGATGACGAGTATGGCGAATGACGGATGCCGAATGACGGATGACGGAAGACGACGACGACGACGACAACGACGACGACGACGACGACGACGACGACGACGACGACGACACGACGACGACGACAAGTATGGTGAACGACGGATGACGAATGATGGAAGACGACGACGATGAGTATGGCGGACGACGGATGACGAATGACGGAAGACGTCAGATGACGACGACGACGACGACGACGACGACGACGACGACGACGACCGCGATTATGGTTGATGACGGATGGCGAATGACAGAAGACGGAAGACGACGACGATGACGACGACGACGACAACGACGACGACGATGACGACGACGACAACGACGACAACGACGACGACGACGTTGACGACGACTTCGAGGATAGCCGATCCCCAGCCTCTTACCCTCCCCAGCCAGCTCCTCCCGCAGGTGTGGGTAGGCGTCGCGTGTATGATTCCGACGAAGGAGACGACGGATGACGCATATGACGGAACACGGAATAAGATGACGACGGAAATGACAAAAACGACGATGACGGAAGGCGGACGACGGAAGACGGACAACGGAAGAAGAAGACGAAGACGATGAAAACGACGAAAATTACGAAAATTCCGACGACGACCATGGATGACGTACTTGACGGAAAACAGAAGACGGAATATGACGACGACGACGCTGGCGACAACGACGACGACCACGACGACGACGACGACGACCGCGACAACGACCACGACGACGTCACCGGAGCACCACCCCACACCCACAGGGGTGGGAGGCACCGGCATTCCCCACAGCCCTTCGCCCTCGTTGGGGGGGGACCCAGCGCCCCAGCGCGGCGGGTGGGTGGGCCGAGGCGTCAGCATGGAGGGGGGGGGAGACCAGAGCCTTGGATAATCTATTTGCACCCGGGTGGCGGGCGGGTGGCAATGAGGGGTGACTCAAGTGAGCGATGGAGAGGAACGGGGTCGTCTGCGCCGACATTGGCGCGTAAGCTGCCGGCGTAAGGTCGCGCGTGAGCGCCCTCGCGTGAAACGTGGCCTTCCGCGCGGGCGGCCCACGTAAGCCACCGCGTAAGGTCGCTACGCCATCTCGCGTAAAGCCTGTTTTTGATCGTCTCTCAAGTGGGGGTGAAGAGAAAGGCTCTAAAGGGGCACTTTAGGGCCTCTTTGCGGCCTTTGCTGGCTCCAAAAGGGGCCCTGAAGGGCCCATTTGGGGCCCTTCTCGTCACCCCCCCGTGTGGGCCACCCCCCATTGACACCCGCCCGAACTTGAGTGGGGAAGTCGGCCAGTGGGGCCAAGGCCACACCAGCGGGAATACGCATCGGTGAAACGAGGGCTCGCGGGGCCGCACGGTGCGGTCTCTGCGCGGGGCCGTGTCCGAGGCTCGCCCGAGGAAGAATTGCCTCGTCGCCGGGAAGGAAGCGGGCCCGGAGGGGAGCGCGTTCCGAGGTGCCTCCACGAGGTCGGGCCCTCGCCCCCTCCACGGGCCCCGGGGCTGTCCAAGAGCGGCCCGTGGTAAGAGTCGGGTCCCGGGGGGGAGGTTCCGCGGTCCAGGGCCCCTTCCCATCGGGATCCGTCTGCTTCATGCCAGGATTGCGAGCAGAGACCGGCCACGCGAAGAGGGGGGCGGGGGGGGGAGGGGGGAGGGCTTCTAGAAGCACCCCTGCTTCTTAGGAGCGGCGGGCCTGGTTCGTAGATGCAAGGCCCGCGCCTCTTGAGAAGCAGCCTCCTTCTAAGAAGCCTCCCCCCTCCCACTACCCCCTTGTGCGCGCCGCCAGAAAGATATTCAGAAAACGAGGTCGTCTGCGCCGACATGTGCGCGTAATCAAGCTGCCCGCGTAAGGTCGCGCGTAAGCGCTCTCGCTTCCAATGTAGCGTGCCGCGCTGGCTGCCCGCGTAAGACGCGGCGTAAGGTCGCTACGCCGTCTCGCGTAAGACCCTTTTCTTGAATCGCTTCGCTCCTTCTGCCGGCCCATATTGTGGCATCATTGGCGTTTGCGTGCGCGTTTGCGGGCCATGCGGCGCGGCTGGTCGGCGCTGCTGCGGTAGTGGGAGAGAGTCCTCATGGATGCTTCTTGGTGTCTCTTCCGAGGGTTTGCGGGGGTCTCCCGTGTAGCACTTTTAGGGGCTCTTGGGGGCCTCCTGGTGGCGCCTTGCATGCCTCTTTCGGGTTCGCTTGACGCCTGTGGTGGATCCTCGTGTGGTCCACTGCGCCGCCCCGCAAGACACCATTGCCTCGGCTGGTGCCTGGTCCGCCTCTCGGCGCTTGCCCTATCTTATCTTATGTTAGCTTCTATTATCTTATCTGTCACTTGCGTATTGCACAGTACCGTATAGCTTGTTGTATGTATGAGATTGTATGAAATCTGTTTGTATCGTACTTATCGTGCATTATTCGTAAGGGCTTCGCCACATGCCGCCCGCCCCCTGTCTCGGACAATGGGAGATGCAAAAACTAAATCATGAGGTCTGGGCGCCGGCGTGAAGCAGTGTCGGGACCTGTTTGTTTTTCGACCCTGACCCTACGGATTTGCATCACGGGTGCTACCGAATTTCATAAATGTGGCAAATCTCTTGTGTTTTTGGCCCCTGACCTTACGGATCTGCGTGAGGGGTGCCGCCAGATTTCAGAAATGTGGCAAATCCACTGTGTTTTTGGACCCTGACCCTGCCGATCTGCGTGAGGGTTCCCGCCAAATTTGTAGAAATGTGGCAAATCCTTTTTGTTTTTGGACCCTGACCCTGCCGATCTGCGTGAGGGGTGCCACCGAATTTCAGAAATGTGGCGAATCCCTTTTGTTTTTGGACCCTGCCTGACCCCGCCGATATGCGTGAGGGGTGCCGTCGAATTTCAGAAACGTCGCAAATCCTCTATGTCTTTGCACCCTGACCCTGCCGATCTGCGTGATGGGTGCCACCGAATGTCAGAAATGTAGCAAATCCCTTGTGGTTTTCGACCCTGACCCAGCCGATCTGCGTGAGCGGTGCCGCCGAATTTCAGAAACGTGGCAAATGTCGTTTGTGTTTTTTAGCCCTGACCCCGCCGATCTGCGTGAGGTGTGTAAATTTTTATCCGCTCCAGCAATTCAGAGCACACGCTCAGGGCGTGGTAAAAATGCCCATTTTGGGCCTCCCCCCCTCGCGCGGTCCACCCACAAGGAACAGTAAGCAGCAAGAAGCAGAACTGTAACAGTAAGCAGCAAGAAACAGAACTGTAACAGTGGAAACTGGAAGCTACAACTGGGACAGGAAACTGCGAAGCTTCGGCCTACAGCCTGGTGGCCCCACAAGGGAACCGCCGGATCTCATCTCGCGGCGCCTCTTCGGGGCCTCTTGGACCCTCTTGGGGGGCTCTTGGGGGCCGCTTGGGGCAGCCTGGACGCCTCGTGGGGCCGAGGGCTCGAGAGCTCTTGGAGCTTCTGAGGAGCTCTTTTGGAGGCCCCTTGCGGCCTCGTAGGTGCGTCTTGGGAGCCTCGTGGAGCCTATTGGGAGCTCCTCAGAGGCCTGTGGGGGGCTCTGGGGACGATTTGGAGGCCGAAGGCCTGTTGGAAGCTCTTCGGAGGCCTGGGGGGGCTCTCTGGGCGTTGTCGAGGCCGAGCGCTCGAAATGTCCGTTGGGGCTCCCCCTCGAGGATTATTCCTGAATGTGTTTTGGGGCTGTTCAACGCCGTCTTGAGAGAAGCTTGGGCCGTCTTGGAGTCCCCGTGGGCCGTTTTGGGGCTCTCTTGGGGGCTTAATGGGCCGTCTTGGAGCGATCTTAAGGGTTTCTTGGACCGTCTTGAATCGTCGGCGGCCGAAAAGGTGAGAGCGCTGAAAACGTTCAATAACCGAAGGAAAGTCGTTGAATGTTGCCTCTCGGGGGCTTCTTGGGAGTGGTCTTTGAGGAGGAGTATCGGGGCGTCTTGAAGGCGGTTGAAGCCGTCTGAAGGCTCCCTGGGGCATTTTGTTACGACTTCTTGTGACTCTGGGCCCTATAAGACCGCCTTCGGGGCCTCTTGAGACGCCCTTGAAGGCCCTCCCCTAGGAGTTCCGGCATCCGTGATGGGGACCGCCCGGGGGCGGCGTATTTTTCGCCGGGCACCCCCAAGGGAAGTCGCGCGCGTGCGCGCGCGAACTAGAAGTATTCTAAAGCTGTTACCGGAGATTTAGCACGCCTTTGGCCCGTTGGGCCTCCGAATTTTCGTCGCTGGCCCCCCAAGAGGCCCCAGGAGGCCAAACTCATTGATTTCGCAAAGGAAAACATACATTTTCAGCATATACGGCTTTTCGGCTTTCACAGCGTTGACGACGGCCCAAGACGGCCCAAGAGGCTCCCAAGAGGCCCCCCAAACGGCCCAAGAGGCCCCAAGATGGCCCAAGAGGCGCCCAAGAGGGGCCCAAGACGGCCCAAGAGAGCCCCAAGACGGCCCCAAGAGGGGGACCACGAACCGAAAAGTCTAGCCTTTCGCCCCAAGACGCTCCCAGGATGCCTCAAGAGCCCCCCAAGAAGCCCCAAGAGGCGTGCCAAGAGGCCACCAGGAGGCCAAAACCATTGAATTCCAATAGGAAAACATATATTTTTAGCATACACGGCTTTTCGGCTTTCACGGCGTTGAAGACGGTCCAAGAGGCCCCCAAGACCGCCCCAACACGGCCCAAGAGACTCCCAAGACGCCCCCAAAACGGCCCAAGAGGGCCCCAAGACGGCCCAAGAGGCGCCCAAGACGGCCCAAGAGGGCCCCGAGACGGCCCCAAGAGGGAGACCACGAACCGAAAAGTCTAGCTTTTCGCCTCAAGAAGCGCGCAGGAGGCCCCAAGAAGCTCCAAGAGGCCCCCAAAAGGGTTCCAAAAGGGCCCCGGTAGGGCTCCCAAGAAGGCCCAGAGACGTCAAATAAATAGCGATCGGTAACGCAAAAAAGCTCTTCACACCAAGGCTCCCAAGAGCGAACGGTGACGTAAACAAGCTGATAAGACCAAGGCTCCCAGCAGAGAGCGGTGACGTAACAAGTTCCTGACACCAAGGCCCAGCCAAGGCTCAGGAACGGGCGGCAACGCAACAATCTCGGAACACCAAGGCTCCCGAGAGCGAGGGGTGACGCAACGAGCTCTCAACGCTTAGGCTCCCAGCACGAACGGTGGTGTGAGAAATGTCGGCTTCTGTTTCTGGCGCGCGCTTTCCGTTTCCGTGCCGGGCCGGGTGTTATGTGTGTTGCCCCGTGCAGCTCGATCGGTGGCACGCGGCCTGCGTCGGCCCTCGTTGCACCGCCTGCGTCGCATTGCATGGCTTCTTGAGATGAGCACACGCGCTGGTGCCAGCACGCTCTCTAAGAGTCATCGAATACCTGGGTCACCTGTACGACCGGTAAGACAGTCGCGATTCGCGCGTGGCGGTCTGGGCCAGAGCGGCTGCCCTCCTTCAAGGGTGGCGGTTGTGAGTGCGCGAAGAAAACTGTGCGTCGCGCACCGAAGGGCGCGATGCGCGAAGTTGAATAGGCGACCGAGCAGAAGATGGTGTGGCCGAGGTCATGTAGTGCGGGATGTGCTCATGCCGAAGCGACTTGCAAGTACTTGAACGGTCCTCCCAGATGAGCATGGAGGATGCCGTGCTGACCCTGATGAAGAGCCTGAAGAATCTGAAGGACCGTGGGAGGGGAAGAGGGTCCGGACGAGGAAAACGAGGGCGACGACGAGTGAGATAACGAGTGAGGTTGCAGAAGCGAGACTTCGCCTCGTCTTCGCCCTTCTCTCTCCTCCTCTCTCCTCCTCTCTCCTCCCCTTCTTTCCTATTCTCTCCTTCTCATCCTACCTCCCTCCATGATCTCGCTTGTCCAGAAAAGGGTGGCCGCTGAGCGTCCCTGCATCGGGCTCGAGGCATCGGGCTGGACGGCGGCGGCAAGGTACACGTTTGTTATGCTGCGTTGTGGCTTCCTCCAGGTCCGGGTCCCCACAGGCTATAGCCTTGGATCGATTGGTCGATCGATTTGGCCAGCGATTCATCGATTGAGATAGATCGGCCCCAGGCGTCTGGGGTCGGATCGGTTGCTGAGGTCGGTCCAGTGCCGTCGTCATGCTTGCTCCCGTTCCCCTCTCATCCCACCTTGCTTCTCCCTCGATGTTTTGTTTGAGTGTTACCATCCTTTCCTCCTCCTCCTCCTCCTCCTCCTCCTCCTCCTCCTCCTCCTCCTCCTCCACGGTCGCGAGGCCTTGGAGATTGATGTAAAGGCCGTTCAGAGTACCCGTCCACCCGTAGTTCACAAGCCACCAACATTGAATATGCGGCTCGTGGGCTCCATCCAGGGACGGGCAAGATTTTTGACCCTATCTGAGTTTTGGGGACGGGAGCCAATGGCGCCCTCGAGGGCGCGAAGTTTTTCGCGCTTCGCGCTTCGCGGATCGGCTCCGATTCCTCTTCATCCTCCCCTTCTCCCTTGGGAGGCGGCGCGAGAGCGCGAAGTTATTCGCATTTCGCGCAGCGCGAAGCGCGAAGCGCGAAGTTGGGAGCCCTTGGGGGCCTTGTCTTGTCCCTCGGCACGCGGCCTCCGAGAAGCCGTGCCTCGGGGCGACAAAAAAAAATTGGATATGCCCCCCTCCAGTGTCTGGGAGTGCGTGCGTCGCTTTGTGCCGCGCGAGGGCGACCACCGCGTCGAGCGGCGAGCTTCATATTGTTTCCTTCGATTTAGTCTTGCGGTCCCGACCCGCAGTTCCGCCAGGCTGTCCGCGCCTCCTCCTCCTCCTCCTCATTTTTCTCCTCCATTGACCCCGAGTTGGGCTCCGTGCTCAGTTCTCACGCTATTGGTTTCGACGATATCGCCTCGTTTCTTGATCGGTCCTATCCGATCCTCGTCGTGATTATCCGTCATCCCCCATCCGCCTCCCCTCCCCATCCTCCTCTTCCCCCCCATTCTTCTCCTATCGCTCGCATGAGAAGCTATGAAGCCATAGGGGGGTAAGGTAGCGTCGTCGTGACTAAGACCCTGATTCCCACAGCGTCATGCATCACGAGGATCATACGAAGGAACGTGGCAGAGTATCAATGACACGCTGCCGTTGAAGCTCCGCAGTTTTTGACCGAGGGCCTGGTGCCTGGTGCTCCATCATCAGTAACACGCTGGTGGATTCCCTGCGGCAGCTTGCCATCGGTATTACTTTTGCCCCACCCCAGCAGTGGGGAGGTAGAGGAAGCTGATACGGAGCAGGATCGGAGGAGAAAGAGGTCATGATAATACGTTCCAGGATTTTCAGGATTTCCAGGTCCACACGGGCTGCAGAAACGATGGCCGCTAGATGCTCCACAGATCCTTTGACGTATCTTGAGTTCCCCGAAGGGGGTCGACGATCCATACGGGGGACGACGATCCTGAAGGCCCTACGTCCGGCCCCGCCAACCCGGAAGGGGGAAGACGACAACGACGACGACGACGCTGACGCTCTGGAGTCGAAAGCTTCTACCAGGGAGAGGTGCTCCCCGAGCCCCCCCCCAGCGTGCCATTGATATTATCCATCGGTCGTTGAAAATAGGTATCTATGAATCCCAGAAACCGATCTACTTCGAGCGCCTTCCCATTTCAAGAATCGATGTGGTTTGGCTGTTGGGTGTTATCATTTGGGCGGGCCCGAACCCAATCCACTTTATCCGCCTTCCTACTTCATGTTTCTGCCCACCTCTTCCGACCGGCGTGTACTCCCCTGACCTCACCTTTGGTGCGTCGAGACAGGATGGTCGAGGCGAATCCGGCCGTGGCGACGGGGGCTCTCCAGAACGAGCAGCGATATGGGTTCGGATGAGAACCCAGACCCCCGACTTGCATGCGGGGCGACGTCGGGGGTGGCCCCTCGCGCACGCCTGGCGGAGGAGGCCTCCCCTGACCCTCCTCCGCGGCACCGCACAGGAGATCGAGAAGAGGGACGGCCTCTCCGACAACGCCAGGCCGGGGGGGGCCGTGAACGTGAAGAAACGCGCGCGACGGAGCACCCCCTCCCACGCAGCCCGTTAAGAGGAGGAGGAGGAGGAGGAGTAGGAGGAGGAGAAGGAGGAGGAGGAGGAGAGGAGCTATTTTCCAGTCTTCTCAGATGAGACTCGAGCAGATGGGGTCGGAGGATCGCGCCGCATCGCCGATGCAACGGCGATGCGGCTCCATGCGGAGCCCGATTTTCTCCACGCCGATGGCTTCTATGCATCGCTGACGTCGCCGATGCATCGCCAATACATCGGCGATGCATCGGCGATGCGGCGCGATCCTCCGACCCCATCTGCTCGGTCCCCATGGTCTCTAGGAACGCGCGCGGGTGAGCACTCCATTCCACGCAGCTCATGACGAGGAGGAGGAGGAGGAGGAGGAGGAGGAACAGCAGCTCTTTCGAATGAAGTGCTCGCTTGTCGTAAGTATGTCTGTTTGGCCTTGAACCGCGCTTTGTCCTACGACGCCTGTGTTGTTAAGCAGGCAGTTGTCTTGCCGTACGCACGGCGTCTGGACAACGCGGTCGCCGACTTTATCCGGACCGCTTTCCTGTTGCCTGGTTGCGTGGACCCGCAGTGGCAGGCTTGTTTTGGCACTCTGACTATGATGTTACGCCACGGAGGCATTGCCATTCACCCCATTACGTTCACGCTCGTTCGTAGTATGTGGCCACGTTCCTCAGCACGCGGCCGAAAGCCTCTCGGCAGCTTGCCGTCGCTGTGCAGCTTGCTGTGACCGACGCGGGACATCGCTCCGGCATGCTCGCTGCTGCCAGGAGTTGCCTTGGTCGGCTGGCTGCGAGCGGGCCGTTTCTCGGCACGTGGGGGGGATGCCGAGCCTGGAGCCTGTTGCGCAACCGGGTGCCCGCACGTTCTCGTTCGAGCACGCCGTGGTTGCAGGCGTGGCCCGACGACACCGCGGTACGTCTACGGATGCTGCGAGCGGCCGACGTCGTCTTCTCTGCAGGGACGCTCGGGCAGCGGAAGCCTTGGCCGTGTGGAAGGCGGGGTAGGATTTGCGGTCATTGTTACGGGGGACGAGGTTTCCTGGTCGGACGGCAGGCTTGCATCCATTTCCACCGGCGACACCAGGTGCTGCTCTTTGGCTTTGCATGTCTCTGCGAGCGCCGTACACGCGCTGGCACGGTCCATGGTGACGCTCCCGACGAGCATGGTGACCATGCGATTTGGTGCACAGTGGGTGGCGCCCACACACGTCACCTGCAGGATATCGACTGCGACGAGCTCGCGAGGTGCGCTCGTACAGCTGGCCTTGCTGCCACGCGCGAGGTCTTGCTCCCAGACACCAGAGCTCGCAACCTAAAGATGCGCAAGCCGCGCTTGGCTTTCCACTGACGTCACCGTCGTCGGTATACGCACAATCGCCGCGGCCATTCGGCGACCGCTGGTGCTGGCGCAACTGTTGAGAGGTTGCGAAAACAACGGGATACTGCGCAGGGCCATGGGCTTTTCTTTCGATTGGCTCAGCAGTTGACAAGACACGTGCCTCCAGAGCCATCTCCACGGCGCAGGATGCACAAAGTCGCCGACTCGCGACTGGCTGCAGTGGATTGTTGTCCTGCTGGGGCGAGGCACTGCAGTGCCCATCTCTTCCGATACCGCTTCAGCGTCCCAACAGCGGTTCGTTGGCGCGTCTTTCCGTGCACAGGCGGTCGTTACGAAGTTTCTCCGCAGGGATGAGTCCATACGAGGAGCGCGAGGAGCAGGATGAGCAGGAAGACGTTTGGCCAGTTTGGAGAGCGCTCGAGTTTGTTTTTTATCAGTGTGGGGCAGAGGCCCAGGGCCTCTCCCGACGCTAGTTGATGCTGTGCGCACCGTCAGATTTCTGTCTGGCTCGGTCTGAGCCAGTTCTTTCGAGGCTCGAGGGAATGAAGCGCGTCAGCTCGATTCGCCACGTGGTTTGTTTGTATTTTCTTTAGAGGCAACCGCCAGATCCGATGCTGCATGTTCCTGCTATCGGGTCTGGCTCCGCGGTGACCCCGCCAGCTACTGAAAGATGTGCCGTCTACGCGTGTCTTTTCATGCGGGAGGGGTTGGTCCATGGCCGCCCCGCCCGCCCGCCCTACGTGGCAATTCCGTCCATAGAATATTCGCTAGAGCTAGAGCTTTTTGTTTTCTGTCCGGGGCAGGGGCTCAGGGCCTCTCCCAGCGCGAGTTGACACTGCGCGTGCCTTCAGATTTGCGGCTGGTTCGGCCCGAGCCAGCTCGTGCGAGATTCGAAGGAATATAGTGCGTCAGCTTGCTTCGCCACGTGATTTTTTTTTTTTTTGGCTGTTTTTTTCTCTTTACAGGCTGCCGCCAGATCCGATGCTGTATACGCCTGCTCTCGGGTCTGGCTCCGTAGTGGCCCCCGCTAGCTTTGTATGCGTACATACATATATGAATAATATTTATATATATATATATATAAGTATGAGTCTATGTGTACCTATCTATGGTATGCATAAGCAAAGACGCCCCCCCCCCTTGGGGAGCGCCCCGCAACCCCTGAACATGTAGGGAGCGCTCACGGCACCGCGCCCCCTGGCCTCCCAGGGATGCCCAAAACGTCCCAGGACTGCCCAAGGCGCCCCCCCAGGAACACCCAGAACGCAAAAACACATGTTGCCCAGGGCGCTGTCTAGCAGCCCAAGAAAGCCTTCCGCCAGCTTCCCAGGCTCCCAGGATCGCCGAAGAGTTAACCAGGAGGCCCCAAGAGACCTCCAAGTGGCATCCCAAGAGGGCCCGAAGAGGCCAATACCATTAATTGTCATTCGTTTTGTTTGTTCTCAGTTGTTGGCCCTCTCGCGTTTTGGAGCTTCCAACGCTCCAGGACAGCCGAAGAGGCCCCCAATATCGCACCAAGACGGCGGCCCCAAAGAGAGTCCGAGATGGCCCCAGAGAGCCTCAAGACTGCCCAAGAGGCGCCCAAGACGGCCCCAAATAAATTCAGGACGGGCCCAAGATGGGCCCGAGAGCGGGAGCACGAAACCCGAAGAGGCCACCGGGAGGCCTCCAGGACCCCCCCCCCCGAGGCCCTCAACACATCCCAGACCCTTGCGAGGCCCCCCAAAAAAACCACGAGGCCCCAACAACAGCTCAGGATAGGCTCCAAAACTGCCTCCCAGGAGCCCCATGCATGCCTCCAAGGCCTCCCCGACTCATGCGCACTGCATAGTAGGAGACCCGATTTGGAAAAAATGATTCCAGCGACTCCTTTTTTGGGCTCCGCCCCGAGCCCAATCAAGACTTCGGGGACACATTTCACCGCTTGTTATTGGAATATCGATGAATTCTCTGACGCTGCCTTGGGATTTCTTGGGTCGTCTTCGTATCTTCTTGATTGCCCTTGGAAATGGCTGACAATCACCGAGATTCCATGAGTTCATTGATCCATGAGATTCCAAGAGCGAACAGAAAGAGAGGACTTCCTCAAGTTGTTCGAGAGTTTTGCTGCACGATGGCCCCAAGGTTCTCCCAAAGGCTGCGGAGGCGCCCCCGAGATGCCTTCAGACACTTCCGGGAGGCCCCCAGAAGGCACCAAGAGCCCCCTAACAGGCACCGACAAAGTACCCAAGACGCCGCCTAGAAGGCCCCGAGAGGCATCCCAGCAGACCACGGCATGCATCCAGGAGTTTTCTGACCCACAGTTCAGGCACGACAGTTTGAAAAAAGGGAATTCCCACAATTCCCTTTCTGTTTCAAGTTAGCCACCACTGTGTACTCCACAACTTAGGCCCCTGCTTCCACCAAGAAAGATCCCAGGAAGCCTTTGCGAGCCCCAAATCGGCGAATATTTAGAAAGGAAAGTCATGATTCTGCGTTTCCGCATTTTCCGCTCTAAACGCTTCCGCGGCTTGCGCAGGGCATTCGAGAGAGTCCCTAGATGCAAGGAGCGTCCAACATATTAGTCCTTGCGTTGGCCGATCCAGCCACGCTAGAACTTGAGCGCGCAAGAAGCGCGCGCGATGGTTCTATACATAAGTAATACATATGTGTATATATTTGTATACATACACATATATGTGTGTATATATATACACACATACATACATCGATACATGTATACATGTATGTACGCATCGCCATTTTCATGTGTATACCTACCCCTCTCCTCTTCCGTCTTACTTCCTCCCTTCCTCTCTTCCTCTGTCCTCCTCCCCCCCCCTCTTCCCTCCGTCAGCCCTCCTCGGCTTCTGGCCCCCTCACCCTCTCCGTCGTCCAGCAGGGGGGGCGCGAAGCTCTGCGCCGCCCTGCCCCGCCGGCCCGGCAGGTCGCAGCTGGACGCGCTGAAGGGCAAGTTGTCGGGCCTGGGGCTCGATCCCGAGGACGGCCCTTGCGTGATGGGCCAGCGTTCCGCCACCTTTGCCGCAGGTAGGGCGCTGGAGACGGGAGGGATGGGGAGGTCCTCCTCCTTCCTTTGGGACCCCCGTCGTTTTCCCCGTGTAGTTCGGTCGGGCTCGCCCGCCGGCCGCGCGCGCGGGGCGCCGCGCCGCTGCGGCCAGCGCGGCGCCTCCTCCCTCTCCTACCTATGGTAGTGATGGTAGAAATCGGGCCATACCTGGGCCGCTCGAAGAATAAACTAGCGCATAAGCAGAACAACGGTCGCACGTCCTTTTGGATCGTGGCTCAGCGATGGGACCCCCGGCGGGCCCTGGCGGTGCCTCGGGCGACACCCCTGGCGCACTCCGCGCGTCAGAGGAGCGCCAGAGGAGGGGGACCAGCGTCGATGAAAAGAATCCGCGCGGACCTCCGACAGTTTCCGTTGATGCCATCGCTTGTTCCTCTAATTCAGAGGGGCAAGAGGTCATGATAATGATTCGTTCCAAGATATGCGGGATTTCCTAGATATCGGACTGTTCCACTCGGACTGCGGAAACGAGGGCCGCTAGATAGTCTGGAATTCCTAGTAGAACGTGCGGTTGGTAAAGGACAGCGTGCGATGTGGCGCCGCTGGCGCGCTTGTCCCCCACCTTGTGGATAGCGTGCGCCAGAGACGCCCTGGCTGGTGGACAGTTTGCACAGATTGGGCCCTCTCGAGGGGATCGCCTCACAGGGACAGCGTGCTTTTTCGGAGACCGATGTTGCACAATGCCTTTTCAACGCCAACCGTATCCTGAGCCAGTCGCATGATGACATCATTGTCGTCCTGCTGGTGCCGCCTGAGGGCCCGTGTCGACCCGATCGATCCGAGTCGATGTCGATTCTAGCCTGCCCGATCCGATTCGTTGCCGATATGCCGACGATCCGACGCGGCCTTGGGATGCCTTCAAGCAGCTGCGCCTCGCCGAGAGCGTCCCTGGGGTGCCGGCATCGTCCCGAACCCGATTCCGCTGGTTTCCGAGATCGATTCGTTTTCCAGCAGCCGTGCCTTCCCGAGAGCGTTTTGGGGGTGCCCGGGCTTCGCTGGTGACCCGATTGGTGTTCCGCCGAATAAATTCTAGACGCTTCGCGTAACCCCACCAGCCCATCCAGAAACGATGCCCCGAGGAATTGCATCGATCAGGGAATTGGGCAGCACACAAAGTCAGAGCCCCGAATCATCAGGGGTAACTCGGGTCAGGGATAACTCGGGTTCGTTCTTCGGGAATCCGAACCCGAGTTACCCCGGACCCGAGTTACCCCGGACAGCTCGGGCGTCCAGAACCCCGATTCATCAGGGGTAACTCGGGTCAGGGCTAACTCGGGTTCCTGTTTCGGGAATCCCAACCCGAGTTACCCTGGACCCGAGTTACCCCGGATAACTCGGGCGCCCAACAAAGGAAAGGTCCCCCAGTGGAGGCCTCTTAGCCATTCTGGCTCAGGTTCTTCTTGTGCTTGCAGCTGCAAGCTACTTCAGAATGGCCACGTGTTGTTGCGAGTTATCCTGGCTTCGTTCCCACATTCAGCGTGAGGGATCTCAACCCTCGCGCTTCGGCTGTCAGGAACCACGTTCGATCCATGGCGGGCGGCAGTGCCCCTGGTGGCGGCGGTGGAGGCAGCAAACGAAAATCCTGGGCTCCATGGCGAAGGTCGTGGTCGGCGCCTCCGTCGTCATCAGGGCCCGCTGCGGCGCATAGTGGTGGTTATGACGGCGTTGTCTGGCCTACTATCAAGCCGGGAGTTCGGTCAGGTGGAGCGGGAGGCAAGAGAGGTTTTCACAGTCCGCGCTGGTCCTGCATCTGGTGTGGGTGTTGGCGCAATGAGGTTTGAAATTCCATGTCTGCAAACACTGTTTTGCGCTCAAGTTCGACGTTTGCACGGAGCAGCCAGCAGGGTGGCCCTGAGCTTGGTCGCGAGGTTCCTCTCGTGCCCTCTTCCCTGGGATAGGCGGCCTCGCGGTGGACGCCAAGGGAGGAGGCAAAGGTGACAGTTCTACATTGCCCCCTGCAGCTAGTCAGTCCTCACTCTCTCCTGAGGGGCACTCGAGGCTGGCCGCTTTGCTCGAAAAGTCAGGGGGCACTGTTCGGGCGGCCCATCACCGAGAGTTGTCCAGGCCTGTCCCTGCAGCTATGGAACCGCCCCGTATGGCGCATTCCAAGATGCGGGTGATCGAGAATAGGCCGCTGGCGGCATGTGTTCGAGTCGAGGAGTGGAGCCTTCAGATGGTGCAGCAGCGGGCCCTGGTCGCAAATCTCACGGACGAACTCGATGAGGCGGAAAAGGAGCGTCGTCGGTTGGTGCAGTCTCTTCACACGTCGGTCGAACCTCAGTCCGCCAAGCCAGAGACCACCCCCGCAGTTCACGCGGCGTCCATCCTCGACGGCAGCTGCACGAAGGCGCTCATCAGAGGGGTTTCGAACAGCGGGGCGAGCAGCTCGAGGCAGGCACCCAGAAGCTTGCCAGCTCTCTCTCCAGCAAGGCCGTTGAGGAGGCCGGGGAGATCAGGAAGGCTCACCGTGATCATGTCTCTCGGTGTACCAAGTAACGCATGGTCGGCGCTGGAGGCGTTGAAGAGGCTGGCGCACCAGAGGGCGGAGCTGCCGCACACGCAGCTGCCGAATGCAAAGGGGGGGGGGGGGGGGGGGGGGGGCAGATGGCAGGCGGAGGGCCGGCCCCCTGAGCCTGCTGGGGGGGGCCGCGGCGATCCCAGCGACCGTGGCCCCCCGGCGTCACCAGGTCCTTCTGTTCGCTCGGGAGCGGCCAAAATTATGTCTCAAGAAAGGGAACCCGCTGCTGGAGCGACAGACTTGGTTTGCTCGAGTTACCCTGCAGGGAGGCGCTCATCTTTTTCAGGGTTCAATTGTTTCTGCTTCTTCGTGCTACAAGGAGGCTGATTGCGACGGGCGTGGCACGTTTATTCAGGCCCCCAGGGGGGCGAAGTTCCTTTTGGGCGCGCATCTCGGCAGCGTGGCTCGGTCACCCCATTTTCTTTTCAGGGGCTCTCGAGGTGCCCGCGAGCCCCCCGAGCGTCGCGGGCCGCCGTGGGCCCTCGGGCCCGCCCGCGGGCCGCCGTTGGCGCGAAGGGTGGAGAGCGAGCCATTGCAGAAGGGGCACCGAGGGCGGGGCCTTGACAGCCCAGGGGGCGGCGCGTTGGCCAGGGGGGGCCGGGGGGCAGATGCCCGAGCACCCCGGCCCCCCCCCCCCCGCGCCTTCTCGAGGCAGGCGCGGCCGCGCGACCGCTCCATCGGCGCATTCTGTTCCGTGCTGGAGTTTGCCCATGAATCCTCGAGCCCGGCCTCTCGGCTGCCCCGCGGCGCCCCGCCCCGCGGTGGCCGCCGCCCTCTCTTCAAGCGGTGCAAAGCCTCATTGCGCGGCGCGGTTCGGCGCGCGCTTTGGAGGGCTCGTGGACTGTTTGGGGCCGCTGGAGTCCAGAAGAATGGTATTAGTGGTCCGTCTGTGCCTCCCGTGTTTGGAGGTCTTGCGCCCCCGAGCCAGATGTGCCCTGTCTGCGCCAGCTTGGAGCCCCGCTGCCCCGTCCGGATTCCTCCCCTGTGAAGTCGGGTGCGTTGGATGGTCGACCGTGGACAAGTTGCCGGGCGACCCCCCAGCTCGTGCCATTCTGCGCCAAGGGCGCAGGCTTGGATCGAAAGAGGACGCCGGCCAGGCGCCGGCCCGGGCTGCCAGGGGGGTCTGGAAGAGCCTTTGGTCCAGAGCGTTTGGCGCGGAGTCTGGATCCACCTCGTCTGGCGCGCGCGCCGTGGTCGGGGGCGCCGTGGGCCGTCATGGGCCCCCTGGCGGGTCGGCGGTTCAAGTCGGGCGCGTTGCTTCAAGCGCCATCCACCTCCTTCGGGGGGCCCGTTTCCTGGCCCTTTCGGAGAAGAATGCCGATCTCCCGGCGAAGATCGGCGACTGGTGTTCTTCCTCCTCTCTTCCCGTCTGCATTGGTGCCGACTTTAACCTGGCGGCCCGCGTTCTCGGTCAGCGTTCGTTCGTCGACAAGTCGCCCGGCGCGCGCGTCACTCCAGATGGGCGCGCCCGCTCTGGAGGAGGGCCCCCCCGTGCGTTGGGCCGTTTTGTTTTCTCGGGGGCAGCTGTCAAGTCGTTCGAAGTGGTGCGCGACGCCATTCTGAACCCCCCATCGAGTTGGTCGAGAAGGCCGCCCAGTGCGCGAGAGGAGGCGACGCGGCGGGGGCAGCTGCTCAATTCAGTCTTTGCTATGCTGCCTGGGCTGACAAGGCCGAGGCGGAGCTCGCGCCGCTTCTCGGGGCCGGTTTCTTTGTCTCAGGCACGCGCTCTAAAGGGGCCCCAACTGGTGCGCGAGAAGCTCTGGGGCAGAGACTTCCAGATTCATCATCCTGATCTGCGCGCGGCGCTTTAGCTCAGCTCCCAAGGCCGCGCATCAGCCGCGCTTCGCGCGGCGAACCTTAGCCGGGGAGATCAGGCGCAGAAGTTGCTTTCTTTATTGTTTTCGCCGCTTGTTTCAGATGAGATGTCGGAAGGACATCGCCTGCTTTTTGAAGACGCTGCTGGCGTTGCCCGCGCAGAACGCGCGCCCCGGAGCTCGCCAGGGCAGGCCTTGCGCCTCAAGTCTGACGCAGCCGTCGATCTCGCCATCAAGGCGGCGAGCAAGGGCCACGCCAAAGTTGGCAGGCACGGGTTCGAACGTGGATTGACGAGGGCGCTAAGAGGATTCACTTAGCCACCAGAGACACTACCCCGTAGCGCCCCATCATCACGTTGGCTGCTGACGGTTCTATCGCGTCGGACCCTTTGTCCTTTTTGGCCGCGGAAGGTTCCCAATTCCTTTGCCTCTTGGGGCGACGGCAGGGGGGCCCTTTGCTCCCCCGGGGCCGATGTCGATGGACCTTTTGCCCCGCTTGTCCGCGGAAACCATTGGGGAGGTATCCAGGACATACATAACAGGCTCGGCTGTCAGTTTTGACGGTTCCAACTGTCGCCAGTTGAA